AGCCGTGCTATCCTGTACAGTACAATAACGAAAAATAGCATTACAACTGGCATAGCCAAGTACCAATTTAAATTCTCGAATGAGGGCTAAAGACGATACACAGGCTCATGGTGTGTCTTCAGAAAGGAAAAAGTAAACACAGAAATAAAGTAAATGCAAGCAGAAGTATTATGAACTTGAATAAGTGTTCTTTAGCCTGACTACTGAAAACTGAGATATATAGCGCTGTAACTCAGAAAGTCTACAGATTGCAGGTCTTACTGATAGGATGATAACAAAGATGCTTCGGTGCACTAGATTACAGTGCTTTAAGTTATTTTTCCATTTTGATTGTCATAATATTTATCTGAAGATTTAAGTGATCTTTGGGTCTATCTTAGCACCTTATTTTCAGATGAAAGTCAAACATATGCAACTTTTCTTAAAGAAAAGGATATAATTAGAGCTATAAATCTAAAACTACGACCCTATTTCATGTGACCCCTCCCAGAGATTTCATGAAAATATTCAAATTTTACAAATGGCTCCCTGGGGCCATGATGGCTGACTATAAACAATATTATAGCATGAGTGAGATCCTGTCTCTACTATAAATAGAAAGAAATTAGCCAAACAACTAAAAATAGAAAAAATTAGCCGGGCATGGCAGTACATGCCTCTAGTCCCACTTACCTGGGAGGCTGAGGCAGGAGGACTTGAACCCAGGAGTTTGAGGTTACTGTGAGCTAGGCTGACGCCACAGCACTCTAACCCAGGCAAGAGAGTGAGACTTTGTCTCAAAAAAAAAAAAATTATTATAAAGTAATTATATGATAAGAATGTAATTTAAGTTAGATGTAAATAAATTTTAGATAGGTATGACCTTAAGATGATACATATCTCTAAAGAATAGGTGTACAAGGAAAAAATGTCATCATGGCTTTAATGTAATCTTGGATAGGTAAGAAACAACACAGAAAGTTTTGGCAAGTATTCATAAGGAAATATTACCAGAAGTTTCACCTGGGAAATAGGACTGGGTGGGAGGTTAGATACAGGCTTAACCTCATGCCTTCCCAACTATTTAAATTTTTTAGCATGAGGATATACTATCATTATACTAATAAAACTAGTTAACTTAAAGAGAATAATAAAGGCAGACAAGTAATAGCCAACATTTACTGAGTACTTACTATGTGCCAGGCACTATGCCAAGAGCTTTACTTAGTGTAATTCATTTATACTTCACAACTCTGAGGAAAGCTCTATTATTGGCCCATTTTACAGATGAGAAAGTTAATACATTCTGACCTTCTGATCAGCAGGAAATAACTAGTGTTCATTCACAATGAGCTGATATAATTCTAGTGAAAAGCAAAGGAAAAAAAAAGAGAGGAGTTTACCAGGCGTGGAGCCACAGCGCCGGCCTGAATATTTTTCTTTATCTTGGCTTAGCATTTGCTATCACAAGAGGTAGGTACTTATTCTCATTTTACAGATGAGAAACTGAACTTTGAGAGATTATATAATCTGACAAATGTCAGAGCTATAATGTGGCAGAAATAAGATACAAAATTCCATCTTTTGAACTGCGAACCAGTGTTTTAACATATATTCTGAGAAAGGAAGCAATCAGAGAAAACAAATTTATTTGAGGTGTACATCAAAGACAAAGAATAACTTCTTCTGACCCATATGTATGAATCTGAATGTTATTTAATCTCATTGATATAATCAGTTGCAATCTCTATATGACTTTGGGAAAGTCATTTAACTTATTGATGACGCTGATTTGTTTAGTTTTTGTGTTGGTTTTGATGTGTTTTGTGGTAATGGTTTGTGATTTGAGTTTTGGTTTGGAAAGTGTTTAATCTTTTTTATTTCCAAACATGTAAAAATGAGGGGGACTTGGACTTTCAAATGGCTTTTCAGCATTAAAATTCTGGGATTCAAAAATAAGAGCAAATAAGGCAAACACCCTAAGCAGAATGAACCAGAAACTTTGCTGAT